GCGTGCTCTCGCACTGCGGCCCCTGGCACGGCTGCGTGCCGGTAACAGTCTGCAGAGCGCTCGAGCGGTAAATCGTCTGTTCTCCCTCAGTATTGCTTCCTTAGCACAGGTCCCGCTTACACAGGCTCTACGTGTTCATTTTCAGAATAGTCGGAAATCCTGCAGAAAAAAAAGATAGCGGGGTACGAGAGCACTCTTCTTCCATGGCAGTGAGGAAAGCAAGCCTTCGGTGGCACTCACGCCCACGATGTGCGAGCGGACAGCGGTGGAAGTTGGTTAGTGATCCAGGCGCTGCTTCAGGGAGGGTCAGGTTTACAAAGGTGAGAAATGCGGACGCGGGTTTGTCAGTGTGCCGCACCGCAGAGCAGGGGCAGGTGTCCGCTTTGTTTCACTGGGGTGGCAGCCCACCCCGACCAGAGTGTGCCCTTGTTAAATCGATGGCTGAACCAATGGTTAGAACTTCCTTTTTCGTCCTGAAATACCACCTGTCGCTCTATCTTACAGCCTCATTCCAGTAGAAAATAATTAGCAGGAGTGGATTTTTTTCAGTTTCTTTCCACCCTTGTGTTTGTTCTACCTTTTTCGTATATATTTGTTTCTGACATCCCTTCTTTTCCGCTTACCTAATCTGTGAGTATGAGCAATTTAAGAGTCAGTAAGTAGGTTCAGAGCGTGCTAAAGAGGAGGATGATCTTGGAGTCATTCAGGAGAGATTAAGTTCTTTTTTTAAAATGGCATACATCTACTTCAGTGTGGATGAAAGTAAAATGTTACATACTCAATGGGAAAGGTAAATTCTCAGTTACAGAAAGGATTAAGCAAATATATTGGTTGGATGAGACGTGCAAGGAAAATATTTCTGAGATAAATTTTAGACGAACTTATATAAGTATCTTGAGTATTCCTGATAAGTTAATACTTGTTAATATAGAGAAAAAAGTACTTGAGGTTTTGTATAGTGTCTTCCAACTATATTCTAAAATATCTCTAAGTAAGAATATATTTTTGTTTGTTAGAGTACGTCTGTGGGAGATGTGAAAAGAATTGTGAGTCTCTTCTGGGCAGTTAACCAAGCAAAGAAAACTCAGCTGTTTTTATCTTCTTTAAAGATCTGTGAAGTAATTTCTCAGGTAAAATTCTAGAACACTGGAGCAGTACAGTATGCTGAAATTACTTCAGGAGGATAAAAAGGTGTATGCGTCAGAGGTCCAAACAGAACAGTATGAAGCCCTATCCTGTCTACTTCATACATTTGGCAGTAGTCTTGGAACTTATGCCAATAAAATAACTGTACCACACTGAAAAGACGAGAAAACCGAAAGCAGTAGCCTTCAAATAAATCTCTCTTACCCAGTCACCCACACACATCAGCAGGTCTGAAATTCTGCATTTAGAGGCACTGGCGTAGAAGTGATACATGATTTAAGAGAACAGACGCTGTACTGAATAACTTTATGATGTTATATTAAATTGTCTCAATTTATTAGTAGGTAAAATAGAACATTGTGCAGCTGCTTTTGCATGTATCATTCTTGCTAACAACTTCTGTCATTTGACTGATTGTGCCCCTTTGTTTTGTATAATACTTTGTAGTTGTTTTATAATTGTCACAGAGCATGCAAAACTCCAGAGCCCCTTTGTTTTGTATAATACTTCGTAGTTGTTTTATAATTGTCACAGAGCATGCAAAACTCCAGACTACTTGACAGCAGTCCATAGTAAAGAAATAGGATTTCCCAGAACACCATATGGTTATTTATTAATTACCATACTGTCAAAAAGGAAAAATCCATGTAGTTTGTATAGTCACTCTGTACTGAATGGCTCCTCTACACTGCAATAACTATCTCAGTTCAGCTACTCAGTTCCCTGAGTTGAAGAAGAAAATGAACTAATCAAACTATGTGCAGATGTATATGGGCACACACAAACCTGCACGTGTATAAATACATATTTTAAACATACGTTGGCTAAGTGGCAGAAAGTCTAGGGATATCAAACTTCAAAATATTTGATTTAAAAAGAGGGCAAATGACCAGTTTTCTTCATCTGTTCCCTCCACGGGCCCTGCACTTGCACTGTTAAACCCTCATCCCTCTTGGTGCCAAGGAGGTTTGATTAATGCCAAGAAAGTTTGTCCTGTACATGTGAACACGTGTGTAACCATGTAACTATTCTGGGAAGCCCCCCAGCAGTGCAGACTGCATGAAAAGTCTTTATTAAAGCCCATGTTGGCTATAATGCCTACTGTCAAAGTTACCGTGGTCTCACTGAGATAGCTTCTGTCTTAGAAAATACAATCTCTGCCAGAGATGTCTCTCAGCAGGCTAATTCTACAAGTATACATTGCAGTTTGTGTAATGTTCTCTTAACGTGGACCTATTTATCATCGTACCAAGTCTGCAAAGGTATGGCGCTCCCGATTTTTCTATAGAATGCATAATACTATGCAGAATTTATACCAGCACAAAGGACTCCTGCCAATGCGTGCAATTCTTCAACAGCATAAACTAGCAGTAAACTTAGCAAAAGAGGTTTTTTGATGGTTAAAATTGCACATATATGGGAACGTGGGCCAATACAACTGTTAGCTGAGGACATGACCCCATCATATGTCACAATTCTGGAGTGTGGTCATAACCTAAGGGAGGTAGTAAGTGGCTTGTCTATGGTTACACAGCAGATCGATCTCACCTCGCTTTTTAGACAGCTACATCTGCAGGATAGGCATGTACCTCCGCTATGACCGTCCTAGGATCTTTGTGTAGCTAGGACAGAGAATGGACTACTGAAAAGGGCAAGGGTCAGCTCATCTTAAGTGGATGCCGAAAAGACATCAAACAAACTACCATAGAAGTACCTGTTTCCTCATATCAGTGGTGGAGCAAGCTAGGTCTGAGGCAGACATCTCTTCATCTGAGATGAATCTTGCATTGAATGGCTTGATAGTTGATTGCCCTCCTCTCCTTTTCTCACCATCCTTCAGCAACATCACATTTCTCTCTCTGCAGAGTTTCCTGCTTGTTGCAGTCTAGACCCATAGTAAGGAAAGTACTTGTCAGCATTATCTGTATTTGTTCAAACACAAAAATAATTTGTTGTATCTATTAGATGAGTCCTCAGTTCACTTGAGTCAGCCACAGACACTCCAGCAGCCAGGCTTTAATCATGTACCAGCTTTCC